GAATTCGTTTCTGGGTTCTGATTGAAATTCGAATTCGTTTCTGGGTTCTGATTGAAATTTGAATTCGTTTCTGGGTTGTGATTGAAATTTGAATTCGTTTCTGGGTTGTGATCGAAACTTGAATTCGTTTCTGGGCTGTGATCGAAATTTGAATTTGTTTCTGGATTTTGATTGAAATTTGAATTCGTTTCTGGGTTTTGATTTTTACCCCCAAATGGTCTGTTTTCATAGCTCAATTCCGGTTAGCCACCATATGAACATGGCTAATCAATCGCAAAAATCATCAAAACGAACACCCATTTCAACATGTGAACAGTCTCCATCCGCTTTAATCGATTTAATCATTTTAATTGCTGTAATTGGTGCCATTGGATTCCTTATCTATCCATATGCAAAGTTCTTATTCTCTGGAACCCTAGAAATTCTTGAATCAATCATATTCGTGGTCAAAGATGAGGTTTTAGATGCCCCCATGATCTATGGCTGTTTAGCCCTAAGTATTTTCAGTGCATCAATGGCGGTTTTAGCGATTACGCTATGCACGTCTCAGAAATGCGGCAAACCCGGTTGCCGTGGGCTGCAGAAGGCGGCAGAATTCGATATCCAACTCGAAACAGATAACAATTTGACCAATTCAAGCTCCTCTAATGGTGGAAATCTTGGGAAAATTGGATTGAAGAAAGGGTTGTTTGAATTGCCAAGAGATTACCACAAGGAATTAGAGGCCGAGCTCAAGAAAATGGCACCGATCAACGGCCGAGCCGTGCTTATTTTTCGAGCTCGATGTGGTTGTTCGGTTGGCAGGATGGAAGTTCTTGGCCCCAAGAAGAATAACAGAAAGATCAAAAAGTAGATATATTTTTAGGAAACTCAGAATCATTTTTTTTGTGAGTATTCATAATGAATAAAGTGATAACATATTCTTTAATGAATAGTATTCATTATGAATACTTATAAAACAGATGATTTATGAGTTGTTAAAATATTTAAGGTTTCTAAACGAAACAGTCTCAAAAATAGATAAATGAGAATTTGGTATTTACTTGCATATAAAAATGATGAAAATAAGAGATATTGATATGAATGGTGCATATACAATCTTTAGTATATACTTTGTGATGGGATTTTGATATAAAGGTTAATGCTTTGATGTTTCTTGTCATATGTGGTTATCTTTTTCTAGAATTTTCTTGGAAACTTCTTATTTTATGCTTGGTTTTTTAGATGATAAGATTTTGGTTAGTGGGCAAATGAGAAATCTTTTAGTACAACTCTTTACAATAAAAAAATAAGGGTAGAATAAATGTATTTGTATATATTGTTTGGGTTGGGTTCACGTGAGATCAATGGTTTTTCATGAGACCCGTAAGACTAATTTATGTTCATTGATCAACTTTTTAAGTTAATGATCTAATGATCTAAAGTTGCACGGTGGCAATTTTGTGATTATTGAGAAGTCTCGTGGTGTTTATGAATGTTCAGATTGTCATATTGTAGATTTAATCCAAGGTTTGAGAATTTGTCTTACGGGTCTCATGAAAAACCATTGGTCTCACATGATCCCAAGTCTATATTGTTAAATGTATATCTATCTATTAATTTCTATCTTGTACATATTTAACGTTAAAATTTACTTTTTACATTTTTAATGTATAATTTGACATGATTCTGATATAAATAAGAGTGTGTGTATATCAACACCCTTAAAAACCAAATCAAAAGAGCCTGAGTATATCTCATCTGAAAGTGGAGTCTTGTAGATGAAATAGGAAGATACATTTGATAAGAAAAACACGTAGGGGTCACCAATGGACCTGCAGGTTACAATTTGTGTACAATAAGATACTTTTTAAAGTCACTCTGTCAATTTGGTTATCTCAATTCAAAATATCTTGGTGTACCAATTGGGATCAATCAAAAGAGAACACGTGGTCGGGATTACATCTCATTAAGGTTTAAAAGGGAACCCGTACGGTGGAAATAGTTTGTTTATCAATTTGAAGGTCACTTGGTTATAATGTTATTCAGTTTCGTGTTACGTTATGTGTCTTGGTTCAAGCCTTACTACTGTAATCAGTTGATTGGAGCATTAATGTATGCAGGGCCGTCCCTTAGCATATTAAATGTGAAATTTTGAGCAGGCCTCCAAAAATTTAGGGCCTAATTTTACATATGTTTAAAGCATTTTCATCAATCTATGTAAAACTATAGCCCAAATTGTTTAGGTTTAGATATAAATTATTAATGGTTCAGGTTTAAGTTAGGTTCAGATTGTTGATCGTTTAGGGCCTCCAAAAAGATTGGAACATCTCTGAATATAGGAATATTCTAACCTCATTATCCATATCAATTACCTGCGTTAATGAACCTCACCGATCTTGGATTTCGACTGTTGAACTGAGTCACTTGTAAGGGTCCAACCCATTACCGTGAACGTCTCGTGTCATCTTGTATTAGAGGTGGGGATCTACCGATGATGACCGATCTTGTAATCGACTATAACAGGTCCTTATGAATACATAACACATTAACTGATTGGTCCAGTCTCTTGATCGGTCAACATCCAAATTAAGGCCCTATGCATTATAACAAATCCGATTTTTTATTTATTTTAATAATACAAATATACATTAAATTTTATTAAATATGAACTCTCTTTCTAAATGATACTTACATAACTAAGATTTTAAAAATAGTCACATTTAAAAAAAAAACATAAATTAGTTTTTAATCCAATCAAAATGCGTTATTTATCTTATTGGTGCAAACGTATCGAGAAGTATGTGTACAGCTAGTCTCGTAGTTTTAACGATAACAAACGTAACCTTGTATAATTATAGATTAATATTTGTAAACTGATTGTGCAAAAAAACAGTGTCATGATTGTATACAGGCGAATCAAAATGTTGGAAAACCAGATGACGGATACATTAAAAATCATATCGCCAAAATGTTATAAAGATTGCGTTAGAAATAGAAGAATGGTAATTTGCACCTTTAACACTTGATGGAAAATGTATCAGAATTTGTGCCACAAAAAGCCTAAGATTGTCGGGATGTGTGTTACTCTGAAAGTCGAATAATTTATTTCTTGAAAAGCAGATCACGGAGAATTCATCAAATCGATTGTAGGTTACTGTATCATTCGTGTTATTAGTTGTAAACACTTGCAATAAACTTTTCAATTCGTTTGATTTTTTTTTTAAACTCTGATGGGTAGTTTAACTGGTAAGAGCATCTCCAACAGGTTTTCTAAAACGAAGAAATCAAAAGTCAAAATCTCTACAAAAGAATTATATTAATCTCCAATAGCTTCTTTATTTTGGAGATTACAGTATGAATTATATTATTAAGATATGCAGTACATTTCATAAAATATTATTTATCTCTGTTATACATTTAATTTCAAGGGTTCTCAGTGGTAGGAAGAATAGAAAATAATTTATCATTCATAGGTGATGATTTTTTAAAGCTTGGAGAATTTAACCGTCTTTTTTGTACTTTTTTCATTTTGGAGAAGGTTTTACAGAATCTTTTAAAGTAAAAATCTTCAAAAATTTTAATTTTAAATAATCTGTTAGAGATGTTCTAATACATTGAATTTGCTTCTCAAAAATTACAAATTCAAGTCTCCCTCCAAACTATTAACTGATTTATTAACTTTAATATCTCATAAAATTAATCTTATCGACACACAAATTAACTAGAGGACGTATACTGAATATTTTATCTTTTTTTGGTTTCATATCTAGGCATTGTCAAAACTCTTATAAACAGCTATGACTACAGGTCATCGGTGGTCACCCCATAGATTAATCAGTATAGATAAATTGATCAAAAAGTTCACAGTTATATATATACACAAGGTTGTAAAAGAAATATACCATATATATATATATATATATATATATATAGAGAGAGAGAGAGAGAGAGAGGAGCGATCAAATGAAGACCATCCTCATTTGTACAAACTATACAAACCACCCTCATACGTCGATTTCATTGTTTAATCTTATGAATTTTTTTCATGAAATTGTTTCATATAATACTTTTTTGATGAATTTGTTACATATATGGTTGTGAAATTGTTTCATATAATATTTAATGAAATTTTAATGAAATTGTTTCATGTATTTCTCTAAAATTAAAATAATGAAGATGATAATATCCATGATTAACATTCTTCACAATAAAAATAGTTTATCAACCTTTCATAATTACAAAAAAAAATGAACAAAATGAAAAATTATGATTGGTTGAATGTGGTTTTCACGGTTTGTACAAATTGGATGGTTTTTATTTGAACG